AAAAAACTCTCAAACATTTCATACACAGGTCACCAAAGTCTAGCCAACTTTCCGGCTCTAAAGTTGTGCCACAGCTGACTGTTTCGGCAAGAAGCCTAACCACATTTGCCCATAATTTTGATTAGTTGATCTTCTAATGCTTGGTAGCAATCGCGATGCAGTAGCTGCTTCTGATATGGACAGCGACTGCTGCTGCATATCATTTTGACACCATCTTCGAGCGAAGACGGCAGAGGTAGTCCTGAAATTTAAAATCGAATTCAGATTTGAGAACTGAGGTGTTTTTCTTTGTCATTTATTGATAATCCGCGTCGATACAATGTATGTATAAAAAGACAGACAGGGCCAGTGATAATTGCTCTTCTTGTGCAACAAGCGGTTTTTGACTCACTTTGCCTGCTGGATATCCTTTTCCACAGTCAGTTACTAGATGAGTCAGATGCTGCTAAATGAACTAAACACATTCTAATGGCTATTTCCACAGCATCCTCATTTAATACGAGGAGCGGTCACTCTAAACTGCATACAGGAATATATGTGCTGGAATTAGGGACTTTGCAGCAGGCTTAGAAATACCGACGAGTAGAAGTGTTGGATTAGTGGAACCGTCTGTAAAATAACAGCTCTAACTGAGCAAAACTTAAATTCCTTTTTAAGAAGCTCGTCCAGTGCGCAGAACCGAACAAGTTCATCAACCTCCACAGCAGAATTCAACGATTTGAGAAGCTAAGAAAATACTGACAGAAAGAAGAAACATGAAAATGAATAAAACCTGAGCTTGTGATACTTCTCTATAGACACATTAGAGAGGAGCTGAATGATGATCTAAGAGAGATACAGTAGCCCGTGAAAAGTAGCAGTAGTTTAGAAGAAGCAGAACTTAAGAAATGCACATCGCTACTATCATTGTATCAAGAAGACTCTTATGCTCGAGAATGGATGTTGAATCAAAGATCGAACAGACTGAAAACGTATGCAAAAAATTACATTGAAATTTGTTTCTATCCACGCATTCAAGCAGGAAGCTCTTCTAGCACCTTTCAGCACGATAAAACAGAAAGATCTCTGAATGAAAAGTAGAGAGATTCTGATAGTGATGATATCAACGTCAAGCTCAGCAGAATTAGAAGGGAAAAATGGGGGGTATGAAGGAAGGCATATCTGCATTTTAACTCTTAAAACCACACAAATACTTTTTGCCATTTAAAATCTCAAACATAAGAAACCACGTAGACAGCCAGACAGCAACGGAACTGGACATCCTGGTTTTCGATCGGCTGCACCCTCTGCTGCATATCCGTTTTTCGACATCATTGTCGCTGCTGAAAAATTTTCGGCTCCAGACAGCATATCATAGAGCAAAGGCAGTGGCCAAAAATATGCTCAGCGTCAGTCGGTGTACTTGCAGCAAAAGGTTTCATGAATAAACTTTAAAGCTCATTCGTGCAACTTCGGTATGAGTGGAGGAACAGAAAGGAGTCTCCTGACCGTTTGAAATGTGGCACAGAAGGAATATCCACAAGGGCCCGGAGAGAAAACATTTGGGGCATTCCGCCTATACCATGTTTCAAAAGTGTTCTAATCTTCCAGCTGAGTGGCGGGAAGGATATCATTGCAACACATGAGAAAGTAATAATGACACACCAAGTAGCCGGTGTAAACCTTAGTTTCGCGCCGTTCTTGCCACTGGCCACTCGCTGTTAAGAATATTTACTGCTTTACAGTTTTATGTGTACCCATCATCAGGATTTTCTGATTGATCTTTTTCCTAAAGTCTTGACATGGCAATCGAATTCCACGTGCGACCCGCAAGTTCCAATTTAGCCTGACAAGCCTAGATGTCACGTGCGGCCACGTGAAAGTTTTGGCGGGAAAATTGCTAGCTCGAGAGCCAAAAAAACTAGAAAGTTGAAATTTTGGGAAGATGTTTCCTACTATGAATGACACCACAAGCTCTAATTTAGGCTGCACGCGCATCTCGGTCTGAATGCAAATACTTTAAATTTTCGGTGCAAAAGGATGCGCCTCACTGCGAGTGCGCGAACTTTCTGCGGGAGATTTTCTGACCCGGAAACCAGAGAGTTGGAAATTCAGGTTGATGTTTCTTCTCAGTGTGCTGTCCTGGAAGTTCAAATCCAGCTTTTATCTTCACTTAAATCTCACATACGGAGGCTAAAATTCCACGTGGAAAGTTTTTAATTTGAGAACTAAATGGGTTGGCTGAAATTTTTGGAAGATGTTTTCTGTTCATTTGTATTCCCACGAACTTAAACTCAGATGGGGAACTTAAACTTATGTTTTTGGTGGGAAATTTTGCAATTTAGGGACCAAAAAACATATCTACTTTTTTTACACGCACAAAAGTGTACAGCAGTGAAATTTCTTAGCAGCAAACGTCCACAGGGCAGAACTACGCAAAACACATGATCGTACCGGTACGATTGCCTTGGCGCGCACCTTTATTTACTAGCCGACATTTCGCACCAAGCTTGAATTCTTTTTACCAGTGCCCAAAACCACATAGACATCAACTCACAACCGAAATTATCAACAGCCACATGTGCAACAGAGCGGGCATGACCTCGCTTTTACTGCCAAATGCTGGCCATAGATGCGCATGGTAGGTACACGCGAAGGAATTTAGCGAGATTATGATGGGACTAGACGAGGATTTGAAATATCGATGGCTACTCGTGGCTCAACAAAGGTATTGATTTGCTACACTCCTTTGATTTCTGTAGTGCTTTCATCAGTGATCAGCCGAATTTCAGGTGTCACTGCTTGCGCCAAATGGCTCTTTTTTTTTTTTGTGAAAATGGGTCATCCTCATTTTTATTCGCCACTGTTTGGCCTGTAGATGCGCATTTCTGGGTGTTACTGAGATGCTGCATGCGCTGAGCACAACCAAGTCAGATTCTGGTGCCTTGGACTACTTGTCCGCAGTTATTACCTGTCGTACCAAATAGTCCTGAAAGTCGTCTAAAAAGTCATTCTACTTCGCAACTGCTATTACATGCAGGTCGGAAAGAGCGTAATTTCCATTACTGCCAAAGGAGTTCATGCAAGGCTGTGCTTTGTCATGATTAAAACCGAGAGCACTAGGTATTTTTATTCCTTTCGCTTTCGAAATTGTTTGGTGCTTTTCATTCACCTTGATAGTATCCGCTGCTTTCGGCAAACACTGACTTAATCCAAGCCTGTGGAAATAGTGGGCTCTGGCTTAGTTTTGCTACTCAGGCTTAAACTGATCTAAATTTTATACACTGGATGAAATATTGCTCGAGTCGTCTTATTACGTTGCAACATTTTCTCTGTGATTGGATTTGCCTATTTGCACTTTCTTTTCATGCTCCAGCGTCGAAGCGCGCCCCTCGCACGTCGACAGATCATTGTTCGAACCATGTTTAATCGGGATTATTTTTTTGAGAACAGCCTTGGTCATCGACTGGTCAGCTCGCACGATCGGCACCATCAATTTTCCCCTCTCCATCTAATTTTGTCACTGAACAGACACAGTTTTTTTTTACGGCATAAGAGAGCTGCAACTTCTCGGCCAGATTCCAGGTCACTAAAAGTTTAGATATGCGATCAGGGTCACAGCAGCTGAGTCGTGAAGATTTTACACTTTGATTACATCGAATGTAGGACTGGAGGCAAAGAAGAAAGTGTTCTTGATTCAAAAGAAGATCCTGACGACTCAGCTGCTTTGCTATACTCTCGCTTTTCCTTTCTCCTGGGAACGTTTTACCATCACACAGCAGCAGCGGCCTATCCTTAATGTTTTTAAATTATATGGGGCAAAAATCAATGAAACCCAGCACCGTCCTTTGGAAAAAGCCCTAAGCGGGTTTCGAAAGCACACTGGGTAAAATAAAAAAACTGTCTTGATTTGAATGAAAGAGTAACAGAACTCAGTAACTGAAACATGCAAGCCAACCCTAGTATACAAACTGCGTTCGAAAAAAAAAAAAAACTGAGTGCGAAAAGCCAAATCCGAACAGTCGGACACAACAGTAACAGCAATAGTCCCAGTCAATCACAGCACGCAACTTTAGACTGCACCGACTTTTTTCACCACGAATTCACCACTGGAACCGACTATTACTTCTTGTCGAAGTCACGGTGCGTACAGCAAGATGCAAAGTAGCAATAAACTGTATGAATAGATATCCTCGAACTCGATGTTTATATTATTTTGACAAGAACATATGCAAATTGCAGCATTAGAGGAAGAAAATTTACTTAATCATGCAATCATGCGTTTAATCATGCGTTTTTGCATAAAACCGAAAGAGCTTTCTAGCGAAAGAGCTCATTTTTATGCGTTTTTTTATATGTGTAAATTGCAAAAACGCATATTGGAAGAGGCTGTGTGTGTGTTTGTGTGTTCGCACTTTTTGTCACCCCTTTTCAACTCGAGAACCAGGAAAGCAAGAAGGCTGAAACTTTGGGGCTAACCATGCGCGACCCTGCCGTTTAGATTTCATCCCCGCGGACGCCTGGGTGCCGCATACGGACACTTCAAAAAAATATACAAATTTTTTGGTGGGAAAGCGACCTCGGGTACCACACGAGCTAAGGGGCTGAAACTTTGTAGCATTATTCCACGTGCATGCACTGGCTAAAGATTTCAAACTCAGCCCCAAGGTATGTGTGGTACTCACTTAAGGCCGTATAGAAGTTTCTGCACGAAAATTACTAACTCGGAAACCAGAAGAGCTGAAAGGCTGAAATTTTAGGGAGATGTTCCTCGCCCACACGCGATTTTTAAATTTCAAATTCAGCTTCCAGGCACATTAAGTGCCTACGTACGGGAACGTAGATATTTTGGCGAGCAAACTGCGAACTCGGTAACCAGGGAAGCTGAAATTTTGGTGAAATGTTACCTGTCCAAGTACAACTTAAGTGTTTCAAATTCAGCCTTGAAGCATGCGTGGTTCTTACGTACGGACACTTAAAACTCTTGGCGGAAAAATTACTCACTGAACAGCTAGGCTACTTTTAAAGAACGACTGTTAAATGGAAATTGTACATTTACTTTGCAAAACCTAATTTATGCTAGTGACCGCAAAAGACAGGTGTAAAGCAACAGCCATTCATGCAGTAAATGACCTGAGTACTTCAAGCCCGGTGCAAAAACGCATGATCGCACGGGCCCACCCGGTGCGTTCCAGCCTGGGTTACACATACTTATAATTGATCTCTAGCGCCACAAAATTTTTTGGGCATACAGTTCCTTTTTTATGGAGACAGAAATTCACAGTTACTGTTTACACCTTTTCGTACTTTGATCCGTAGCTCTGATCTCAATTTTAAGCCAGTATCACAACTCATAAATAAAAGGAGTTGCAAACAAAAGGAAATTTTGAAGGCTTAATCAGTAAAGTAAAAAGAAAGAGGTGGATACATTTCAAATAACATCGTAATCGATCACCTTGGCCCTTAAACAAATGCAAATGATACAGCTTCAAAAGATGTCATACCACTGTCCACACTCTTGACAGTATAAATTAAAAAATGAACATAACAAAGCAGAACCAGCTGCCGGAGTATCTACTTCCATACACCTAGAACAGCTTACTGCAAAAATGCGGCCGCCCTGAGAGAGCCTCTTTATTCCATAACGGGCTTATTCCACATAGCTCCTGTACTTATTAAACTTCTGACCTCTTTCTTGGAGTCTCTTATATAGCTCTTTTTTTTCCTTCGAACTCGCCTGATGTGATTTAATCTGCTTTGGTCCTGAACGAACGCCACTCTTGCGAGTATGTATTATGTACTTATTTGTGCACTGTGTGCATGTACAAACGCAGAGCGGTGTCAGCTTATGCCCAACCAGTACAAGTTTCCGCAAAAATACTGACCGTGTCAGTCCAATGAGTTATTACCACATTTCACATAGTTTCTCAAACTCCAGTCAAGAGCTCATGGAGATTCAACTTCCAGTAAGAGGCTTTAAAAATAACTTAAGCAATAATGTGTGTAATACATGTAGTATTATTAAAACGAGAAGGATGCAGTGAACTGCGCTTTTATAACACAATTAGTGATATGTTAAGATCGGAAAAAATTGCATAGTTTGAAAGAAAATTTACTCACAGAATTCAGAAACGAAGATCGACCGAAAAAAAACTAACTATCATCCAGTTGAAACACAGGAAACTCTTCAGCCATTAGCATTCCTTCTCAAGAAAAGAAAAAGAAACGAAGCAAAAGAACTAGCAGGAGAAAGACAGTGAAAACACAGGAAGCCTGTCATATTTTACCCGTTAAGGAGGAAAACAGACTGGAAACTTGCTGCGTGAACTGATCCTACGTCGAAATTCAAAATTCAGCCAAACGAAACTGTTTCAGACGTCAAATCATGCAAAATACTCGAAATAAAAAATACCGGAGAATTCTGCAAAATAACGCAATAAAAGTTATTACAGTGAAAACAAATAAAGAATTTTGAACGTCAGCAAACTGCTCACCCTACAGATCAGTTCTCGATGTTACTGAACTACCTTATTTGCCCTCAAATCAAAACATAACCTGTACTGAACTGTAACGACACACCCAGCGCGTTTTTCAATACAATCAAAATTCCCGAAAAAATAGTACAGAGTAACAGTGAAAATCAAACTCGTATTTGAATAATCACCAACAAAGTAAATAAAAATCACATCAAATAAAATTTTGTATATCTGCAAAACAAACGAATAAAAAATTGAACATTTTTACGAAATAGGGAAAACACCGGAGAAGGCCACGTACCTAGCGAGAAAAGCTGACAACAATCCGTGATATTCGGAAAGGAACAAGAGCAGGGAATGGCTGCGCTCGAGTACATCGGTAATTTAAAAACACTGAAAACGAAAGCCGATGAAGTCGCAGTAAAAAGTTACTGGTAAGCATACTAAAACTATAAACGATTTTAAGAAAAAATTTTCAATCACAACCTTCTTCTGAGATATTTGCAGTCAGAAAAAGCATTTGGAATAACCTGTAAATCGCACTCTTCAATGCCGTAATTATACCGTCAAACACAGCAGACTGTGTAAGTTCAGTTCTTCCATCGATTAGCCTTAAAGCATGTGACGCAGTGACTTGAATGAAACTTCTGCGTAAAAATTCTGGCCCAGGATCTAGTCCGACCACTACAGCTCAAATGAATTTTTACTCTGCGAGAAAACAAATGTCTTTTGTTTGGGAGTTGCGTCGTGGACTAGCTGTGAACTGCTAAACCTTTAGATAACCAGAAATGACGCAGCGTCGTCCATAAAAAACTATACTGAAAAATAAACTAAAGTCCGAAATCGTGCAGCAACAAGGTGTTTTCTACCACTAAGACTAATGCTTTAGCAAAAAAACTGAGCCCTCACAAAAACTCTGATTACAGATAAACTAGGCTGATATTCGGCGGCACTGCTATTCGTCTTTGACTGTGCACGATGCCCAAACCGGACGCTTTTATGAATTTTAAATTATTTGAAATACATTTCAGAAATTTTGGGATAAATAAATGAGAAACACATTGCATAAAAATGAACAGTGAAAAGCTTACAGCATTATTCAGAGCATTTATTGCTTTATATGCTTCAGCAGTGTGAGGTGTCAGTCTGGCCAGAAAGGCGCTTAGTGCTACTCGATCCTTCTGCGCCACCAGACACTCAACCATCACCTCAGAAGCACTCGGGAACCGACTTGCAAGACACTGTCGTTCAGCGAGATCCGGAACGGCACGCAGGAACTTACACAAAATCTGTTTATAAAAATCAGTTCGACAACATACAGTTCTATGAATACCGCAGAAACAGCAATAATTTTCTTAATGTAGGCCAGAGTGTCCAAACAGCCTCTCAACGATAGCCAAATGACCCGTAACTACTCACTATTCTTCTTCCCCACGTTTTAGCTACAACTGCAATTTATCATTTGATATTTGTCCTCAGTAGTGTCTTATTTCTCCCCTTTTTATGCGTTTTGTGCTGTGTAACAGCAGTACAAAACGCATATTGTTACGGGGTTGTCT